GGCATCCAGCTGGTGACAGAGAGGAATGGAGTTGAAACACCGGCACCACAATTGGTCTAATTTGCAAACTGAAATGCTCTCCTCGTTCATCTGCGCTTAGTTTAGAATCGCTGGTGGCCAAAACCCCATAGATTAAATTATTAAAATAATGCAAATCATACCCTTAGTACCTTGCAAAGCTCCCCTGCTATGGCTGGTCACACCAGCAGTAGGCTCGTGGTTCTGACAGTTCAAGCAGTTACAGTCACTAACTAACTTCTAACTGTCTTCAACTCTGAACCCTTTTCATTTGCAGAGGTGTACCCCCCTCCAGGAGGCACAGCAATCAGCAGCAAACCAGAGAGGCCTCTCATGTGAGTGCATTGGCACAAAGCAGTCTGCTCTAGAATGAAAAAATACTCTTACCTGAATGAGCTCTCTTCCCGGGGAGGGGATGAGTACATAACTGTCAGCTTGCGTAGGTTGTGGCGCCGGCTGCATTTCCAATGACAGCATGTGGATTGCACGAAGTGCCCTATTTTGTTTCCCTGTTGAGCGGTTTCTGGTGGTAGCTCTAAGCTCTTGATCTGTTCTGGGTTATTTGGGAGTTTGCCGTACTCTTACTTGGATCATGGAAGATGATTGCCTACAGACTTGTGCTGATGTCTTGTGGCTTTTGGCTCCTCCTTGCCATCCACAAGGGCTGGTGCTTTGGGCAATCGCTATATCCAGTCTCACATTCTTCCTTAGCAAAGCATGAGGGAGAAGCAGCCAAATTAATCAAATAACTATCTTTGTGGCTCAGAAATTCAGTCTGTGGTAGAGGCTGGATCTAGCACAAAATATTCCATCTTGCTGAGATGTGTACTGGTCTTGTCTTGGGGTCTAACAGCAGGGCATAGAAATCCTTGTGATGTCACCCAGGTGCAACAGGTATCTTCTGAGAAAGATGGTGAGTTTCCTAATGTTTTTTTGAGGGCTTAGATGTAATTTCCAGCTTAAAGGTGGAATGTCATGTTTACTTATATTAATCCACATTCTCCATTGCTGAAGTAAAGATTAATAACTAAAGTCTTGCACATAGAATTCAAAAGGTCTAGCTGCTGGCTTTGCTTTCTTCATTCCCCAGGCTGTGGAAAAGGCTGTGGAAATTGCACCTGGCTACAAGTTCATACGGGCTAAAGACCATCTCTCTGTAATCCTAGAGGATAAATTTTTTGACAGAAGATTATCATCTGTGGATGAACAAGTTTCACCTATTACTCTCTGGTAACTTGCAAATGCGTGTCTAGTAGGATTTTTTTTTTTTTTGAGAGTCAGCTGCTATCTACTTGCACCACTTCTTGTCCCTGTTAGGGCCATGCATAACAACAAAAAAGCTTTTGAAACTGGGTAAGCTTGAGCCAGGGAAGATTCCTCTGATGAATTGCAGGCTGAAATGCAGTGGGGCTTTGTCCTACCCCACTGACTTATGCCACTGCAGAGCAGAGGTAAGATCAGATTCTGCTATGAGTTAAGGGAAACCTGCAGTCAATATTTTTTTTCCCCCCCTTTCCTTTTCCTTGAGTACACCAGGATTAATTCCACCAAAATTCCTGCAACAAAACCAGGGTCTTCCTCTTCTCCACGCTCAATCTTTGGCTTGCCTGAATGAAGCTTAGATAAGGTCTTGCAGCATCCCTGCAGCTGTCAGTGTAGAATGGCAAGGCTGGTGGTGCAGATTTGGACTGTGCTAGTGTGCCTTAACAGTCAGTAGTACCTCTCCAGCCATGATGGTCTCCCTTCTAAAGCCCAAATGGGATAAAGTCCGGGTAGGGAATGTTATCTTCCTGATGGCTCCATGTCATCTTTCTAACATCTGCTCTGTGTGTGTGCTGCGCTCAAAAGTCAATGGGTAGGCATGCCAGTATGCTATCACCTGGGGGTGAAGGTGTGAAAACGAAAAAAGGTTTGAAAGTGAGTTCTTCAATGGCTTAATTCTTAGGTGTAATGTATATCTTTTGCAAACGTTTAATGTTGATTGCTTCTGTTATTCTTTTGCAGTGCCCCAGCAAAGAATGAGAACCTAATAGCTATAGATTCTGGGGTCAGAGTCAAAAAAAGTGTATCCTTTACTCCTGCTCCCTTTTTTATTGATACAGTCTGTGTTGTCTTTTTTTCTTTCTTTAGGCACCTAGTTTAATATTTTGCTTGGAAAACTGCTCTCTGCTTTCCTAGTATCAGCAAAATGTGCTCTGCATGCAAGCTGTGTTATCATTTCAGCTTGAAGATGGGATACTTACTGTTCTTGCTGCTGCTTTTTAACTAGTGATTAGGAACTAGAACCGGAATCTTGCATAAAGTAAGATTTCAGAAAATCCTAAACGGAGAGAGCTATTTGTATGTTTCTGGTCAGCAGCCATTTAAAGCAACTGAACCAACTTTAGTACTATCGCTATTTGTCTGCTGCACGTTTTCAAATAACGGTGCTGAGCTGAATGTCTCTAAATCTTGTGGGAATCCAGGTCCAGATGTTGTATTCTGGGTCTATCGCGATTAAATTGCTATGATTTGAACCAAAAACTTATAACCATTACAACCTCAGATGACTGAATTTCAGACCTGATTATTCACTTCAGTTCACTGAAATGTACTGATTCCATCATCTGCATCCTCTCTAAGTTCTTAGCATCTCACTGCCTTTGATGGAAAGCAAGAGCAGTGTGGAATATGTAATAATTAAACCGTGACTATGGATTGCGGTCTCCATCTCCAGCTGGATCCTTCTGGAGCTACAAGTGGGTCCCAGCAGAAACCCTGTGTGTGATGGGGGGATAGTTTATCTTTGCAGGGAAGATATTGTCACTGACTTGCAAGAACAGATCACTGAGATGACAGACGTGACAGAGCAATTGCACAGAGATTATAAGGTCTCGCAGAACCAGGCAAGTCCTTTGTTTTCCCACACCTTGGTTAAAAAGGTCGCTTTGAATTGAGACAGGCAAGAGGGAAAGGATTGGTTTGGCCTCAAACACTAGCTTGGACCCTTTCCCAAGGATCAAGAGCAAGAGATTGCTGAGCACAGGCCCAGTCTGTTTGGGTTCCCACCAGAAAAGGAAGGGTTTTCTAGGGACTAGCGCATAGAGTTGGAAACAAGCGTACCTGGGTAGCTGTTGCCGTTGTGCTAAGAATGTGCATGCATCACAGGGAAATAACAGCTTCCTGCAGAACAGGCCTAATTAAGCCACCTAAATCAATGGGACTTTGCCAATTCTGGAAAATTCCAGAATGATTCTTCTGCAAAGATGAGACCTGGAAGTGCCTTCAGCTGCTTTGTTGTTTTCTTTTTAGTTGTTGACACTGATAAAAGAAAGATTTTTTTTTTGGGCCAGTCTCCCAAGATCGATGGCATTTAACAAGCATTTTTGTACAATGGAGAAGTGAATACAAATAAAGCTTTTTGTGTGGGTTGGAGTCTCTGCTTGAAGGTTTCTGTAACTCTTGGATTGAGCTCTCAGTGAGTAGATTTGGATAATCCAAAGAAGCTGTGCTTAGAGCAGAAATTTTCAAATGAATGGGAAAAACAGAAAACCCTTTCTGTTTTATTTCACTGGTGGCTCAGTGAGCATTTCTTCTTTGCAGCTTGAAAAGGACAGGGAGGAAAAATGCAAGGAGATGCAAAAGGAGTACAAACGTATGATCAGGTACAAATTCTGTGATTTGCAAAGTGAAAGTCCAAGGATGAACTGAACCAGAACCTCAGCCTCTTGTGGTTTTGAATAAGATGTTAGTTGAGCAAAGATTTATGTATGTGGTGTGGTGGGTTTTTTTTTTTTTTGTGGGGGGGGGGGGAGAGAGGGAGGGCAGTTCTTGTTTCTTACTTCTGCCTCCTCATGTTTGTTCAGAATGAGACAAAAATGCCTAAACTTAAGTTTCAGCTAACATAGTTTACAGTAATGAGATTCAAACTCATTTTGGTTCTGAGATCAGGCCAGACAAATTTTTTTTTCCATACTGGGAAGTAAATTCCCATGCCTTGTGAGTTTTTGTTTGTTTTGTTTTACATATTTATTTATTTCTGTCACCATTGGGCCGAAAAACACTACGAAAGGCTGTGAGATCCTGGACTGCATGTTTTCTTGACTTGATAAAAAGGGGCAGCAGTGTGTCTGCTAGGTGTGAGTTTTGGTTTGGTTTTGTTTTTTTTTTCCTTTTGCAAACACATAATCCTGGATTAGTATCACATAAAACACTGTGATGCTTTCCTTTGCTCTTATTTTAACACAGAGTTGTTCAGGGTACCACTTTAACAGTTGAGGAGAAAAGGTGTTGTCAGATTTGCCCACAGCCAGTTAAAAGATGATGAGAAAATGCAACCTGGCAATTCTGCATAGCAGGAGTCTTGCTCCAAAAGGATGTGCTTCTCTGACCACGGTTGTGCTCACCTAACTGTAACCCATAAGCTGGTGCTGTCTTCTCACCCTTTCTCCCTGAAATGGTATAAGAAGATTTTTAAAGATTCTCTGTCACCAATTTGAGTGTTTTGTAAATGTGGGTATCTTTTTGAGGAAGCGATGGTAAAGTAATTCTACCAACACTTGACTTTATTCAACATCCCTGCCTATAGCAAGTTTTTATCTCACAAGTTCTTATGTGTTTCAAGCTAACAAAGAAAAGTTCTCCCCACTTAAAGGATTGCCAAATTCTGCTCATCCCACATGAGTTATTAGAAACGGAGAGAAAACAAACACATAGCCAAACTTTTGGCTTTTTGAAGAGAAGTGTCACAAACAAAAGATAACAGAAAGGTGGTTACCTGGACCACATTGTTTCCCCCCCAAAAAGGAGGTCTGCTGCAAAGCTTCTAATTGGCCGTGTAGGGCCAATGTTTTATAACATGTTTGTGTTTGGAAAAATCTAAAAACGTAGAATGTAATGTGAAGACTGGAAGAGAAGAAAGAACGTTTTTATGCTTTGACTGCTCTGTGGTCTACAGTGAGTCAGACTGAAAGAACAGCATAAACTTCCTAGGCAAGACCACACCAGGTATTGCTGATCTCCCTCAGCTTTGAAGTGAGAACAAAATGGCAAACAAACTCCTGGACGTATAAAAGTCCAGCATTAGGCTGCGTCCCCCTCACGATCACATTGCCATGGCAGCCATTAGTGGTAGAATGAGATAAGAGATGAGAGTTGTGCTGTGGAGACACCTGTATGTATGTGTTTTCCTTATACATTGCTTTCACAGCTCACTTCAAGAAGCTCATGGGTTAGAAGTTGCTGGCTTGCAAGAACGTTTTCAGAAGTCACTGGAGTTTGAGAGAGCAGCTGCACAAGAAAAACTGGGTATTGGCAGATTTTGCGCAGAATGCTGCGCAATTGTGTTTAGACTTAAGATTTTAGGTTGTTAAATTATCTGAGAATCTGTTCCTACAATCCTGACTCTGAACTGAGAAAGACAGCACCAATCTGAAACCAGTTACTTTTAGAAGGGTCTGCGAGGGTTCTTCCTGTTTTAACACACTCACAACAACTTTCCTTTCTTCTGCTTAGAAACTGAGAAAAATTTGAGAAGAAACTGTCACCACTGTCACTGTGGGAAGAGGGAAAATGGTTAAGGAAAAAGATCTGGACATAACAGAATGGCATTTCTTTGAAGCATCAGTGTATTGAAATTGTTATAGTTGATTAGGACCTGAGCTAGGTTTAAAGTAAGATCTGGGCATGAGGTAGAGTTAAGTATGCTGGAATCAGGATCTTCCACAGATTCAGCAGAACTCTTGTGCAGTGAGTAACCTTAGAAAGATACTGACTTCTGGGGAAGGCTGGTAGGATCAACAGTGTTTCTCATTTTAATTTGTTATTTTTTAATCATTGGTTGTCAAGGAAGTCTTCCAGATCAGTGATAGTGACAGGACCAGTTAGCTGTTTGAGATGTGACTGCCTTTCCTTCTGGATGTATTTAGGTCGAGATGTGCAGGCAGCACACCTGTTCCAATAGAGTTTATGTCGCCTTTAATCAAAATTTGGATTCTCCTTGAAATTGACTTGACTTCTAAGTTGTATATTCTACCACCAACATAAAATCAAATAGCATAGACCTGCCCTGCAAGGTATGGAGTAAGATGTTACTAAAGTTCTGAGTGTTAGCGTTTCCTTGTTAACTAAATATTTCTGACCTCCTTTCTCAGAGGGACTGCAGAAAGAATATAGGCACCTGAAGAATGCATTCCAAGTATACCAGGTAAAGGTGTTTTCTGTGCTGTGGTCTTTGAAATTGGATGACACTCTTAATTCTGTATTTTGCTTAATAGGAAAGCAGTGAATGAATAGATTCCATGAGTAAGTGGGGAGCCTTAGGCACTGTAGACTTGTTTTGGTTCAACTGAAATCTGGGAGAGGGATACATACCCTTTTCAAACAGCACAGCAGACTTTGTCTTACAGAGGTGGCAGTAGGATGTCATGAAGCTGGTGACTCGACATTTAACTGTTTTCCTTCACCTCTGCGGAGTGAAGGAGAGGAGTAATAGACGTTTGAGGCTCCTGAATGAAGACAACTGCTTCTAGTGTTGCTCCTAAGAACAGTCTTATCAAAAGTTTTCCAGTCTGTGAATGGCAAGAGCTATGTCATGGGGTATATTTGCAGCTTAGTGTGGGAGGTTCTCAAGGGTTTCTTGGGTCTGTACGCGTGCATGTTTTCTTTCAGTTTGGTTCTGTTTGTGTAGAATAGCATTGCTGATGAGATGGAGGAGAAGTGGCTTAGAAGAGAGGCAGACTGGAAGAAAAGTGAGAAGCTTGAGTGGGAGAGAGCACTGTTACAGCAAAGTAAGTAAAGAGGGAGCTTGTGTCTGCAGCCTCAGGTTGCCACTGAGACTGTGTCAGGACAGCAAACTGATATCAAAGGACAACGTTCGCTTCAAGGTTAGTGAAGTGGAACAAGTGATATAAAACATCACATTTTCTGGGGCTGGAAAACCCTGCAGAATAACCTTATTTAGGAGATCATAACCGGTTAGAGCAGTGCTTTCATTGTGTTCCTGCTAGCCGCCTTGTGGCCCAGCAGTGAGATGTGCCATGTCGCAGTACGCATAGCAGTCACAAGGGCTAGCAGTGACTACACCAGAGTCGCCACCCAAAGGAGAAATACCAGTGGAAGAAGAGGAATTATTATTTTGGGAGGCAGTAATGCAGGCTGTATGAGTGTGTGGCGTGACAACTGCTTATAGGACGGACTTAATATTTGTTAGGTCTTCATTCCCTGTCACTTGATGCTACACTGGGCTACAAAAGTATTAGCGGTAGAGAGTTATAGTAGAAAATCTGGTATAAAATGCCATATTGCCCCGTATGTCTGATTTCACTGCACAGAACTGGGAACACTTGAGAGACCTTGGTGTGTCTTTCCACAGAGCAGATGCTGACAAATAAATTTGAGAAAGAACTTCAGGAATTATCAAAGCTTCTTCAAGACAGAAACTCTACAATGGAGAAATGTTTCCAGCAAGAGAAAGAGGTGAGAAATCATAAGTCAGCATTTAAAAACAGCATAAGCTATTTGCCATAATTATGACCAGAAATGCAGTGGTGCTAAGCATGTTGCAAGTCAGTGGTGTGTCATGCGCTTGTTTGCAGACCCTCCTATTTTCCAGTAGTGGTGTTCAGGGAAGGGGTCCCTGGAGGACAGTGTTTCTCAGCTCGTGGTCCACAAACTACAAGCCCGTGTTTGATCTTCAGGTTCCTGCTGCTAAAGGGCTCCTGGGAGCCTGCCAGTTTCCCATAGGCTGTCCCTCTTTTTGCAGGAGCACCAGCACATGGATTTCGAACCTTGGGACTAAGTATGGGCAACTGACTGCCACATGCAGTGGCAGTCATCTTTGCCCGGCAGTCATCTTTGCCCGGCAACTTGGTGCATGCCCTTACTTCGGGCTTCCCAGTGCAGGCAAGGGCCTGTGGCTCAGCTCACTGAGGGATGTCTCACATTGTTCTGTGGTAACCTCTGTGCTGCCAGCTGCTCTGTGACCCAAATTCACTAGAATTTGCGGAAGAAATGGTATTTCATACCTGTACTTCAATCAGAAAGGCTTCTACAAGGTTTGCAAAGCAAGTTGGTGCTGGGAGAGTAACTGATCTCTACGTGTGGTCCTGGTCTGCCTGTTGTGTGGTTTGCACTAGCAGGTGCTCCAGGAGGAAGTTGGTGCTTTTGGACTGGTACTGGGCACTCTCAGCTGTCATTCCCCCATATTCAAAAGATGTATAGAGGCTCTGTCCTCCCACTGGGAGCACTGCAAGGACTGCAAACGCAGCAGCACTGATGGCTCTGCTCCCACTCAGTAACGCTGTTCTATGGCCACCACTTGGGCACTGCCAGATTAATGTCTGTTGCCTTCACAATGTGCCTGCCTTAGCGATTTCTGATGAGAGCGTTTTGTCTTTCTGTCTGCATTAAGCCACTATCTGGAACTCTGGCCTTTTGCCGCACTTGGAGCTGCTATCAAACGCCTGAAGTGCGGCTCTGTGTGGTTGTTTTTTGGGTTTTTTTTGGTCAGGCTGGTTTTAAATCCCAGGGAGTGCAGAAAGTGTCAAACGTGCTCTACATTGCTGTTACTGAGAGTGACAAGCAGTCTGCTCAATGCCTTGATTTTTGTGTGGTTGATAGCAGATGGCTTCATGTGGGAATACTGAACCCAAGTTTTGCCCAACTCTGTTTTTTTCCAGGCGTTTATGAAACAGCACGAAGAAGACTTGGAGAAAATAGCAGAGTTGCAGAAGTGCAGAGAGGCAAGTTTGGTTGTGGAAGCAGAGACAGAACCTCTGTAGTGTGGATGCTAGTGCCGCACCCTTAGCAGTTGGCTAGCAGATATTTGGCTTGAAGTGCGTGTGTCCGCGTGCACATGTGTGCGTGTAACCATGCGATACTGGGTAACGTGCTTTCAGACTTGAACTTCCCAGGCAGGGAGGCAGGGCAAGGTGCCCTAGAGCTCTTAACGTGCCCAGGCCTTAGACAGCAACTGCAGGCCAAAAATGGATTTTTTGCTTGAATGGATTTCTTTCTAGCGACCTTGAGCATGAGTTATCTTTGAACACATCATGCTACAGCATCGTCAGGTCCCTTACCACATGCACTGCTGTAATAAAATAATCTGGTGCTACTTGGTTTAGAACATCTCTTCCAAAAAAAAAGAAAAAAAAGTTTTACTCCATGGCGAAAATAACATTCAGCAGCACAGAAATGACATTGTTACAGCACCTGAAATAGTGACCCTGAAACTGCATTATTCTGGCTGGATACAGGCAGAGCCCAGCCAGCCAGGCTGAAGAATGAGCAGCATAGTTAGGTTTTCCTGAAGAATCCAGTAGCTTAGTGCATGCCTTCAACAGGCCAGATCCCTGCCTGTAACTTGAAGCTGGACTTCCCCAGTCCATCAGTAAAAGGAAGAGCAGTCTCATGCCTTCTCTTCCAGGAAGGGCTGTCTCCTTGAGTCAGCCACTGTGAGCCAAGACATTCAGCACTTGCTGCGCTGTGTGAGAGTAATTAAACGCTTATAGCGGAAGCTATGTTGTATTCCTGCATAGCTGAGTTAGCAAAGGAGACGATGTGTGCTGTTAGGAATAGGAGCTAATCCAGACTTTGCTGGGCTGAGCATGTGCCACTGGTTCCTGCAGTGTGACCTCACGGGGCCTGGGAGAGCAATGGGGAGGACAGCGGAGGCGGGCCAGGGCAGTAAGAGGCAGTGGCGAGATGCGTGGCTGGAACACTGTCACCCTGTGACTGGCTAAATGATTTGTTGCAGCAGCTGGAGGCAGGTCTCAAGGAGAAAGAAGAGACACTTGAAGCTGTCATGACCAGGCTGCAGGATGCCCAGAATGAGCTTCAAAGAGAGGTGGGGAGAGCATGTGAGATCACCCTGTGGCAACTGGCCAAAGGCACAAAGGCATTTGCAGAGGCTGCACTCCTGTCTTTGGACTGTGAGGGAAGCTTCTGTGATGCTCATACTTTTAAATTTTAGTGTAAAATACCTTTCCTATTGAAGGCAAGTTGCATGCTGGCACCTGAGACCTTAATCGTTGTTCCGTTTATCTGATGTGTCAATTTTGCTGCTCTTTCTTTAACTAACTAAGCCAGTGTGGGTTCACGGTCACTCTGACAAGGCCAGGCTGGGAAAGGAATGAGCCTGCACTCACCAGGTTAGCAGGGAATCAAGGCTGGCCATAGCAGGTGGCCAAAGACAGAAATCTACAGAACTAGAAAGGATGTCTGAAAAGGTGGGAGTTGCATAAAAACCCTTGTTAATTTTAAGGGGATTGTAACTTTGTTAGTTGATGCCTACCATCTGCTTTATATTTTAAGGCTCCCTACTCTTTTACCTGTGGCTCATAACTCTTGGAAAAATATCTGAGCGCACTCCTCCTGTGAAGTTTGCAGATACTACAGCACGCAGCATAACAACGTTTATCCAGTTCCTGGAAATTTTGGGTGTTGTTGCAATGCAAACATTTGCTTCCTGTAGGATTGACCCCATTCTGCACATGTGAGAGGCTCTGCATTTCCCTGTACATCTCTTTTTCTGTTTCAATGCGTAGCACATTTATTTTATTGCCAATAAGGTGATTTCCTCAGAGAAGTCTGCCAAAGGGAGGATAGGCTGTCAGCTTGTAACTGCACTCTGTCCTCCCACTACTTATTAGAAAGTTGTATGTTGGCATAAGAGATCGTGGTATTCTACCTGGCAGAGCATTACTATGGTGTTAACTGTAAGTGCATATGAGAGGCTAAACAGGTGTCCCAACTTGCGGTGAAATTTAGGCTATTGCAACCTATTCCATTTTGATAGTTCTAGCACTCTGCTCCTCTAAAATTGGAAAAATGGACCAGTGGAGGCTGGGGAGGACTAACTGCATTTGGTAAAATTTGTCTGCCATCAGCCAAGTTCTGCCATTTGCTGCTGCTGTCTTATATTTTCTAGTTGTGACGTTGTTCAGGTTTGCAAGGAAGAAAACTAACTGTCTTTCTCCTCCTCCCAAGAAAACAAAAAATCTACTGCTGGAGAGAAGTATCGAGCAGAGAATTGCATCAGTTGAAGAAAAACATCAGATAACTGCAGCTTCTCTTCATGATGAAAATGTTAGCCTGAGGTAGGTGCAGAATTAGTGTGCAAAGAAATAACTGAGAACATCCAGTATAAAGTTAAAGTTAGCCTATTGTAACGTTAGCTTATTTTTATCTTCCTATGTGTGTTCTGTCCCATCTACATCTGTATGCTGCTCCCTGTTGTATGGGGCCTGTCACCCCATCACAACGGAAGGTGCGTGCGTGTGTGTGTGTGTGTGTGTGTGTGTGTGTGTGTGTGTGTGTAGCTGTGACTGTATGATACAGCATCCCAGCAGCATGCACAGGCCCTTTGAAGACTGATAAATGACTGACATGTAGCTTTTATGCTTTTGCCATCTGATCAGGAGCACTAGACGTAGAGGTGGTTTCCCTTTTCCTCTAGAAGCTTAGCCTATTACATTTATTAGCTACAGTCAGGTCTATGGTCCTGAAAGATTCCTTTTTTTGGGGGGGGGGTTAGCTTTGTTCATAACACTTGCTATTTAGTGTTTTGCGTAAATAATTTTAATGTTTTGCCAAGATTTTTTTTTGTTTTTTAAATTTCATAACCACTATTCCCTTTATCCTGTTCTATTGCTGGTACTATCTACCTGTTGATTTTTTTTTTTTTTTTTTTTTTTTAGCAGTGACATCCTTCCTGTTCAATTACTGAAGAGGAGGGACGTCATGCTATGATGGAATGACTGGTTGGGTAGATGAGGGGAGAGCAGTGGATGCTGTCTACCTGGAGTTCAGCAAGGCTTTTGACACTGTCTCCCATCACATCCTGTATGGAAACTCAGGAAGTGCGGGTTAGATGAGTGGACGGTGAGGTGGACTGAGAACTGGCTGGATGGCCGAGCTCAGAGGGTTGTGGTCAGTGGTGTGGAGTCTAGTTGGAGGCCTGTAGCTAGCGGTGTCCCCCAGGGGTCAGTCCTGGGTCCAGTCTTGTTCAATGTATTCATCAATGACCTGGAGGAAGGGACAGAGTGCACCCTCAGCAAGTTTGCTGATGATGATAAGAGGAACCTGCTGAGGTTCAACAAAGGCAAGTGCAGGGTCCTGCACCTGCGGAGGAATAACCCCATGCAGCAGGACAGGTTGGGGGTTGACCTGCTGGAAAGCAGCTCTGCCGAGAAGGCCCTGGGAGTCCTGGTGGACAGCAAGTGAAGCATGAGGCAGCAATGTGCCCTTGTGGCCAAGAAGGCCAAGGGGATCCTGGGTTTCGTTAGGCAGAGTGTTGCCAGCAGGTGGAGGGAGGTGATCCTGCCCCTCTCCTCAGCCCTGGTGAGGCCGCCTCTGGAGTACTGTGTCCAATTCTGGGCTCCCCAGTACAAGAGAGACATGGTGCTACTGGAGAGAGTGCAGCAGAGGGCTACAAAGAGGATGAGGGGACTGGAGCATCTTCTCCTCTGAAGAAAGGCTGAGAGAGCTGGGCCTGGCCAGCCTGGAGAAGAGAAGACTGAGAGACGAGCTCATCAATGTGTACAAGTATCTGAAAGGGGGGTGGGGGGGATATCAAGAGGATGAGGCCAGTCTCTTCTCCGTGGTGCCCAGCAGCAGGACAAGAGGCAACGGGCACAAATTGAACCACAGGCAGTTCCATCTAAACCTGAGAAAAAACTTCTTTCCTGGGAGGGTGACAGAGCATTGGAACAGGTTGCCCAGAGAGGTAGTGGAGTCTCCTTCCCTGGAGATATTCAAAACCCGCCTGGACACGATCCTGGGCAATGTGCTCTAGAGGACCCTGCTTGAGCAGGGCGGTTGGACTAGACGATCTCCAGAGGCCCCTTCCAACCTAAACCATTCTGTGATTCTGTGTGACACCGCAAGTCAGCGTGAGCCAGAACTGCCCGCTTTCTTCATGTGACTGAACGTGGCTGTCCTGTGGAGTTGTGAGGGGTTATTGCCAATTGGCCAGATATCAGTTGCTTTATATGAGAAGACTATATATGAACGAGAATCATAATTGACAGATTAGATTGCTAATTGATGAAGAATTCCTAATCAGACTCATAATTGATTATATGAGGCGATTCCTAATACAGCCTTGTTTATGGCATGCATTAATCCTGCTTGGAAAAAAAAAAAAATAAATCTCCCAAAAGTTCATACCAGAAGCCTTGAGGAAAGTAGCTCCTTCAGGGTAGCCAACTACCTATAGTGTACTTTTTTGTTGTTGTTGTTAGTATTCCTAAAGGAAAAAGTTTTCTATGCAAGCATGCTGTCACTTACACTCTGACTTGGGAATCTCCTGGCACACTTAAAATTTGTCAAAAGTACAGACTTAAAAAAAAAAAAAAAGCCTCAAAAGCCTCCCTCTGAATGGAAAGGGAACTATGTGCGTTCAGTACTTCTAATCACTGCTTGGCTAATCAGCAGTGTGGCAGCCTGGGTAGTTAGTGCAGTGGCAGAAGGAAGAGAGCCCAGGGTGTGCACAGAGAACTGAAAATTGCTGGAAAACATAGGTGACCGAAAGAGGTAACAGTGCTGAGAAGTATGTATGGAACGAGAGGAACTAGGGTGTAAATCCACAGTAAACCAGGCTGCGTTAGTTGTTATTGCCTGTGCAATGTTATGCCTCTTTGCTTAAGAGGTCTATTCAGTACTCAAGTAAAGTAAAAATGTGTTGGTTTCACCTGGATTGTCCATTTCTGGCAACGTCCAAGAAATAGCGTATATACAGACATCTTTCTGCCCTTGCTTCAGCTCAACTCCCATTGGTTTCATGGTAAATTTGTAAGCAAACATCAACCTGTAGCTAGGAAAAGTGCTCCTGGAATTTGAAAGCACAGCTTTGCCTCCTTCTGTAACCACTTGCTGCCTCTGCCATCTATTAAGATTCTAATCACTTTCACAGTCAACAATCTCTTTGTCTTTATCTTCACAGACACAAGCTGATAGAAAAGAGCGAAGAAGTATTCGGCAAAAGAGTCCAGGGAAGGATTTTAGGCTCCTAAAATAACTGTAGCGAAGACCTAATCTGTTCAGCTAAGTCATCACCTACATTGGTACCATCTTTGCTAATGCTGAAATCTGTAATGCAATTGTAACAGAATGTACGGCTCATTTAAAAACATAATAAGAGGAGTAAAACATTGGAGCCTAACAAAGCTTTACCTTCTACTCAGAGCTTGCATCACTCTCAGTTCTGTAGTGCATACTAATCATCACAGGAGATAGATCCCACAAAAATGTTTTTGAGGAGCTGGTCACTTATCTAGCAAATTCTTCTTTTGTTACGCCTATAACTGAGCGCTGAAGGCCAGCAAGGTTAAGTGAACACAGGGCAGCAGGCCATCTTCAGGCATGAAGCTGCACTTAACAATGGAGTTGCACGTTAAGACTGCGATAGGAGGAGGATACTCTGAAATACAGAGCACCGCCACATCCTGCTGAGGATATTGGAGGATAAGCACTTGACTTTGCCTTGAGAGGTACTGAGACTCTAAAACTGAATGAGCTAAAGGGGGGGAAAAAAGTAACCAAAAAAACCCACTCATGTGAGCTGGTGCATCCTGTGCTGCATCTCTGATAAAAACGCAAGCATCTCTGTTGCTAAGATAAGCAGTTCAGGTTTGTGGTGCTGTCAGGCTGTGCTGAGGGAGAGTGGTCTATGTTTCTGATTACTAAGTCTTGGGTATTCTCAGACTACAACTTCTACCTTATAGTCAGGCCAAAATTAATTAATTAAATGAATGGGGAAATAACATTTGCAACGCTCCCCCTTTATTTTGCAAAAGCTAAGCATAAAATACACAAGGCTTTGTAACAGTTGTCGCTCTAAATTTGGAAATGCATGCAATCACTTTTGGAAAAATAGCTTACTAAAGAAGCAGCAGTGTGGTACAGCTGACAGAACAAAGAGTGTATTTTAGCTAGCAAATTACAAATCAGAGACCAGCTCAGATATGTTCTCAAGTATAAACTGACATACAAATTAACACTAAGTGCTTGAAGATAGCGCTGAGGAGCAGTAAAACATCTGCTCTTGTGCTAAAAGCAGACAGTGAAAGTTGTTAGTAATGTTTTACCAAACCCTGAGCTGATACTAGCAGTTTCCAAGCTGCTGCTCTGCAGTTCCCTCTCATTCAGTTAACAGGAAAGATGAGTTTTTTCCTCAGTGTGAAACTGGGCTGTGGCATCTGCTTCCCTGCATTCTGTTTGTCAATCTTTCTGCTCACCTCTTGATTCACTGCTGTCAGGATGGTGAGAATATCTTCTCCTCTGCAAAAATACAGATATGTTTTGTATTAGAGAAGTGGTTAACACCAGAAAACTTGATGCACGCTCATATATCGTGAGGTGTACCACTGCTAATAGATCCTGTTTTAAAAGGCTTCAGCAGTTAGGTAAACTGTTTTTTAGCAATCTGTGTACCTTGTTGCTCTATCCCAAACTACTGTTTTCAGTCTGAGCAAGCACTCCCCACTGGACCTCATCTACCTCTGCATCCAAAACAATTGCCTGTCATTCAGAAGGAAAATACAGGTGTAGCTTATGGAAATATAGTTACCGAGGACAGCTCTTCTCTAAGTGTTGGCACAGTGACTGTATATACCAGGTCCCCTGGCTTGGACTTCTGTAGGAAACATAATCCTGCAGGGTAGCCATGCCCAGGAGAAAGTCTGCTTCTGAGGGGATGCAGTCAAGTTGAAATCGTGCATCTGTTTCTACAGAAGAATCTTGCTCTCCAGAATCTATTTCAATGGTTACACCTTTCTGGCGAGCATCACCTTGGCAGGCCTGAACAAAGAAGACTTTTGGCTTTCCTGCAAGGGAGTGGCAATTCCGCCCAGTGAAAGAAGTGGTCAGTTCCTGGATAGGTACTTCCTTCCCATCAACACCATATATAATGCCTTTTTTTCCATGAGAGAGGATGCAGCAAACAAAGCAGTCCTTGTCCTTGTGGTCTTCGCACTGATAGATGTTCACAATGTTACGGATCTCCTTTGCGGTGAGGTCTTTATATTCCGCTATTTTAAAGTGAAGCTTGCTGAAGACTTTCTTCAGAGCCGCTGGAAAGCAAACAGAAGGGGAACTGGAGCTGTTTCATAAAACTTGGAATTTGTTTGCAAATTACATTGCTAAAGATAATCTGGCCGCTTTTTAATCCTGTTACACTTTTGGTGGTCTGATTTTTAGCCATATCTGTACTAAGTCCCCTTAGCTCTCATTACAGGGCTTCGATGCCATCTTGCTGTTTATTATTTCTTCTGTCTGGAAAGTGTGCAGAGCTACTAAGAAAGCCTTATTTCCTAACACATGTCACAGCTAACCTAGCTTTTAAAGCCCAGGCTGAGTTTGCTGCTAAAGGCTGCAGAAAACTAAAGTGTTAGTGAGCTGTTCTTAGCTAGCCAGTGAACCCTTCATGAGTTGATTTGGGTTTGTCAAGACTGGAAGCAGAGCTGAGTCAGCTGCTGCAAAGAAAGTAGCCTAGAAAGGGAAGCTTGATATTCAGACCTTTAGTGCAGAACAGGAAGTGTATTTTCTGTTCTTAAACTAGTCCACTCTCCATGAGAAGTGGAGATATACAAACTCCTCTGTACCTGCATCCACGTCTGTCCCATTCCGATCCTTCATCTTTAGTTCAGCCACTTCTGCCCTGGCTCTTGCAAAATTGTGATTATTCAGGATGAGGCACACTCCGCGGGGTCGGCTGGTCATTTTGTAAACTTCAACCTGTCGGACCAAAAGCCTGCTGATGAAGCTACTGCACCCTTCTCCAGGTGCTTCTCCGCCCTAGCTGGCAGCACAGCTGGGCTAGGAGCCTGCTGGACTTTTCTGGACAGCCCTCCCCGGCCGACTTTGCTCCCAGGACATCACACCACACTGCCCCACTGACTTGGGGAGTCTGTACACAGCGTGCCCCACCATCATGTTCAGCCCAGCTGGGATACTGCATTCACTCACTTCCCTGTGCCCAGCCAACTGCAGCTTTCTTGGTATAAGAAACTTGACCTATCGTGCTACCCTTGCAAAGGTTTCTGAAGCTTTAACAGTGCAGCAGCTGCTACCTGTGACTTAACTTCAGAATAAAATATATTACACAAGTGGTGCTTTTTTTTTAATTCTAGACAGAGCCTTTAGCAGTTTTGCTTGTAGTAACTATTCACCTCATGGAGGGATGACTTCTTCCCATACAAGATTATAATGTTTCTAGGAAACAAACTGACTTACCTGGGAAGATTCACTACGGCTGCCAGGAGAATCAGGTGACACGGATGAGGCCAGCTGTCTGGCACAGGCTGAACATACACACAAAAAAAGGTATGTGTAAGTAGAATATGTAGCACTAGAGAAAGGAGAGAGGAGTTGCTCTTGCACTCCTTCTCAACAAGTACCTCCAGGGATAACTGTTCTTTAAAAATACTAAATTGTGGGGTTTTTTTATGGCTGTTCGTGTTAGCTATAAACCACAAAAAAAAAAAAGAAAAAAAAAAGAAAAGTTAAAAGACAGTAAAAGTATTTTGCTCAGTTAGTAAGTGGCTATTTGGTCACTATTTAAACACTCCCATTTGTAAAGTAGTGAGATGTGAGGGGGCGTAAAGAGTCCAAAAGTTTGAGAAAAATAAAAGGTTTAAAGATTTATTTTTGGAGGATTTTGTTACCTTCAGTGACTCCTGTGTTGCCACTCTGTCCCTCTGTGATGAGCATCTCTTCTTCACCTGAAAAGCATTCATTATTAGTCCTGCATGACACCTACTTATCACTTCAAGAGTAACTGAGGTGGAAGAGGCCTTTTTTGTGTTGTTGTATTTTTACCACATCGGTTTAATTCATACTCTTCAATTTTCTTCACCAGGCTCTTGTCAACTTTTTCACAAAGAGTCTTCAGGACCTTTAGGTTGTCTTCTCCCAAAATTCCCTTCTTCTCCATCTCGATGAAAACGTCGATCATTGTCTGGGCAATCAGAAAGGCAGTTTCCTCTTAGGGCACATCCATGCTGCCATGGGGAGGGAAGCTGCAGCATGTATAGATGTACCTAAGCCAGCTTTAAATGTACTGACAGCACAAGTGACCGCAAGAGTCAGTCTACCTAACCAGCACCTCAGTTGCTACCTCAGCTGATTCAATTAATGCTAATTCAACTCTGCTTACAAGCACAAGCACCATCTTCAAGGCATGCTCACTTCTCTCCCACTATTCAGAGAGGGCGATCACCACTCTAGCTCCTGGATTAAATCACATGAGAACATACAGTCTCTCTCTTTTTTTTTTTTTTTTTAAACTAATTCATTTCTTTCATTCAGCTGCTTTCCAGTGGCTATTTCATCCACTTAACTATAACACAAGAATCACTTCAGCGACTGCCTCTGGCAGTGGAGAAGATGAATCTTAACCATGCAAGCATGGTGCAGAGATTAATTTCTGAAGGGAGAGAGGACCCAATCGTCATGAGCTCATGCCAAACAGAGAGTGACAAAGTGCTCTGGTCACCCCAAGGATTTACTAGAATGGCTGCCACCAAGTGGTCACAGTCTCTCCTCTGAGAAAGAATGAATGTGTTACAAGTACCCAGCAGTCAGAACCATAGGCCAAGGTACTGTAAGGGCAGCTGGATCTCCTAGAAAGCCATGAGTAAACCCTATGCTCTTGTGCCTTAGTTCTGCCTAGCTCCATATTTTCTGAGTTTGGAAATAAAAGAAACAAAAAAACATGAAGTATCTGATAGCCACAGTGGGTGATTCTGTGTATTTAGTAATGATCTAGAAAGCAGCCAAAAGACAATCAGTTGGGAAAGATGAGGCCGTGTGCTAATCACCACTGATTCCACCACTTCTTAGAAAAAGCCACCGAGTTCCCTCGGCCCTGTACTGAGCTTGAGCACTAAGGCCTCAGCACCTGGCACAGGAGTGGCCCAAGCTCTTGCCGTCACACTGCTGCAAGGGCTACACAAGCCACACTAGCACACACTGTGCCCCAGGCTCACTGGAGGCCAGTTCTGTGCCAGCTGCACGCTTTCTTGATATTTTCAGTATCAGTGGCGCTCATCCCCATCGCTGATACCAAAATACATCTATAGCTTCAAATGCTAAAAAGAGCATTAAAGTCATTCTTACATTCTCAGCGTTCAGCCTGGATTTTGGTAGTTCTTTCCCCAAAAGAAATTTGAAACACTTCAGCTCCTCAGTGGTGATGTTTTCAGACAGTTGAAAGAGCAGGTACCTAGAAAGGGTGTAGAGGACACAATTTCATTGTATTCCCTAGCACATCCTTTAGCACAATTTAAACGTGTACTGTTGAATGGTGCTCTGCTCCACTCACAACAACATCTATACACGCTTTTTCCTTTTCGACCTGAGGGGACTGCAGTCCCAGGACAGTCTAGAGTCGAACCATTTATCACCAGCTGCAATTAAGAGGTGTGTTTTCCTAACAACAGAACTATACTGAGACTTTCTGGAACTGAGACTATGGAAACTGCCATGACTAGTAACTTTTCACACTATACAGAACACAGAAATTTCTGCCAACTGTACAATCACTGCAGTGAGACACACCAGGTAGAGCTACACTGCAGCATAGTTTGGGAGAGGACGTAAATGCCCCAACAGCTGTTTCCAAGCCACTGTGCAGAACTGAGGTGGAGCTGGAAAACTCATGCAAGGTTACAATTCAGCTTCTACTCAGCCATGTTTTTAAACAAACGTGTGAGGAGAGTAACAAAAAAGTAAGGCTTGTTTTAAACATCCTAGGCAGTTTAGGGGGCTGTTCAGTATCAAGGTACAGCTTAGTTTTCTGCCCTTTACAGAATTTGTAATAGAAGAAATCGTCATGGCTTGTACCTGTTTTCCCTTGGCCAGGTGTAGAAGCCTGTGTGCTTCCAAACTTAGCCTGGTGTTCAGATCTTTGGTAAAACTTACACCAGTGCACGAGAGACAACAATCTGGTCTGAGCAACAGAACTCCTGGATAAAGAGCACTCTGGCTGCTAGCTGATGTGCAGCACTTACACTCCTGCCCTCCAGGCTGCCTGGTGAAGCCATGGCCCCAGGTACTCACCTGAAAGGAGACACCTTTGCCTTGCCTGGGATCTGAAGCTCCCTCTCCATCTCCTCTCGGCTGGAGCGCAGGTGGTCACCCAGGATGTCCATGCGATTGATCCGGTAGATCAGCTCCTTCAGGAAGGCCAGATTCCCCACCTCGATCAGGCCTTTCTCCTGCAGCGCTTGGAAGAAGGCCTTGGGCTCCTGAATGGCTTCCTGCTTCCTCAAGGGGATGTGCTCCAGGCTGAGGAACTTGAGAGCCGCCAGGTCATCCTTAACCAGCGCATCGCTGATAACGTAGAGGCACCTGGAAAACTCCATTGTCCCCTGCTGCCTCCTGGGACGGCTTCAGGCCTGAGCAAAGAGCGATGCGTTTCCTTGCCGCAGCCCCGGCGTGCTTCCGCTCGCGGGAGGCGGCGCCCGGGCCTGAGCGTCTGGGAGCTGTAGTTTCCCCACGCCGCCCCGTGACCCCACACCGGGGCTGTGGCGGGGGGCACGGCGGGCCGGG